GTGATAAACTATAGATTGGTCTAGATGGCAATTGAGATCCTTCTTGAAGGTCAATTAAGTAATCATAGGAACAATGTTCTGGAAGAGTATTTGCATTCTTTTTCTCAAATATATCTTAAAAATCTTAATATTGGCTAGGAATGTCATATGAAGACTTTCTACCTTTAAAAATAAATGTAGCATAAATAACACAAGGTGCTCTTTTTTTTTGCAGTATGCAAGAAAGTTCTTACACCTACATATACAAGTTTAATTGTATTAGACTATGACTTTCTACTTGATTAATTGTATTCTTAGTTATACTTTTAAAAAATCAAGACTACAAGAAATCTAATCTATTTGAAGATTATACTTTTTTAACCATGATAAACATAAAATAATTAGATTAGAAGGAAATTTAATAATATTAAATATCACAAAACTATAATTATCATTAATTATTACTATTAAAGGAAATATTTCATGAATAAAATTTCTAAAAGATAATAGACAATCATTTATGGCTTATATATGAATAAGTTTTTTTTCATTATTAAAGATATGTTATATCTTTTAACAAACTCTTCATCTAAAAAATAAACTAAGGCTATTGAATCTAGCACGACAAATGCTTTGTGATGTACAGGTTTTAAACTAACATCTATTATTAGATAAAACAATTATTCTGAGAAGAAAATAAGATCTTAATTAGATATTCTATAAGATTTCAATTGCACAATTCCTATCGTAATTGGACATATTTACTTTTCAATATATTGTCTTTTTTGATGGTTATATTTTTTATTTTATGATTGCATTGCTTTTTTTGATAGTATTGACTAATGTGCTTTGATTCTCTAGAATATAAATATAATCTTTTTTGACAATAACAAGTATTTTTTCACTCAATAAGATATTTAAAAAGTACCACATTAATTTGCATATCTTCTACTTTCAAAGATATGTGTTGAAAAGACGTTGATATTACCATTGAATTATAATAACATTGAGGGCTACTTATGCAATCCTTGGATTAAAATACAAAAAGTTGATTATTACACTTTACAACAAAAATAATTATTTCACTTAATGTTTGAGGATTACGTAAATTGAACATCAATTTCTTTACCATATATTATAATTCATAAAAAAAATAGTTAATAAGTGCAACATCATTTCACTTGATATCAATTATAAGTTATCAAAATTGTAAAGCATATAATGTTAGAGATTAATTTTTTTATTGCAAAATATAAATCTTATTTGTTGGAATACAAATTGTATCATGTTCTCCATATATAGATCAAAATCCTTCCAAGAAAACTTTCAAATTCTCCAATATTGGATTATGTTATTCAAAAAAAAATTAAAAATCATGACAATATAAAATTAAAAAGTAGTGTTTAAATAAACTTGACTTATGATTTTAGAGTTGAATAGCTTTGCAATTGAAGTTCAATTGTTAGTTGTACTTGATTGATGAATCCTCAAAATTTTAATCTTATACCATCAAACTTCTCAAGTAAGGTAATTTTTGGTTTTCTAGCACTTAAATGGTATTCCACTATAAGAAAAGAAACATAATTTGGTCCAAATATTGAAGCAAATCTAATCATTTCTTTATCTCCACTTTCTATCATTTGTCTTCTTCTTTGTGGTAGTAAATTGAGTTGATGCATTGCAAGCATTAATTCCCTCAATTATTCTTATATTTGTGCCATTACACTCTTCATTTTGACAAGCTTTGCTATAATAACACTTAAAGGAAAAGAAATGTCTAATATTGCTCAAAGAAAATAAAAGAAAGAACTTGAGAACAAAGAAAATACTAAAAAATAATGTAAATTTAGAAGAGGGTAATCCACAACTTCTAATATGCCTATGTCTTATCAATAGAAAGAGATAATCTGCTCTTAATAAAAAAAAAAGACAAAGCTCTAATATTATAAGTATACTCTTGTCAATCTGTTAAGGACAAGAACTTGATAAAAGAAAATAAACAAGTAAAATTTTCTCAAAGAAATATGACAAAATAAAAATAAATAAGTGTCTTAAAAAGAACTTAGAATGACTATTGCCAAAAGTCAAGAAAACTTGACACTTTTGAAACTAAATTAGAAAGAAGAAAAGAATTGACAAGAGTGAAGAAGGCTTTATTCTTGCTTCTATACATACTATCTACCTAGGAGCTATGTAGCAACATTCTATAGGACCTCTAAAACGTGCTGACTTTGCATGACATATATCTTAACTTGCAATACAAGTTTTCTATATGGATGCCATATAATTAGCTTGTTCTGCAAGCTATCAATATCTTTGGCATGTGGTGAACTTGTTAACCAAGTTTCTAATCTATCAATCAACTACAAACACATGAAAAGTCAAAGCAATATCTATAAAGCTTCTAAGAAGCTTTCTTAGAAGATATTATGAAATTAATCTATTTTTACTTACTTCTACCTATTTATATTACCTAAGTAACAATTATAATAAACATATGTCTTTGACACCAATATAATTTAATATTCAAGTACATACCTCTTAATTTAATTCTTAATAAGATATATTTGTTAACTATTATAATATTTGATAGCTTATAAATTATTGTAAAACAATAAATCAATTATTTTATGAGAGATCTTCATATTTTTTTTAATTTGAAAGCTTCTATAAATAATTATATATAATATTTTAAATTTCTAAACTTACTTTCAATGAAATTTTTACAAATTATTAATACAAAAGTTTAATATCTATTAATCTACAAATCATGTTATACCTACTTGTAATTAATTTGCTTATAGCCTAAGGTAGCTATAATAAATGCCATAAAATACTTATAGTTATTTGTAATTAATTTGATAAGCATAGTCAATTCTCTTTTTACCATAAATAATCATAGTAATTGATTCTCTTCTAACATTAAAGCACCAAAGATCTTTGTGAAGACATCTTTAGTCCTTACCTATAAGACAAAGTATAGATTAATGTTAAATAAGCTACATATATTAATAACTTTCTAACTTTTTAAGGTATCATTGTTAAACATTTTGTATTTTTAAAAAATAAATCATGTTTTCTTTGGCTTTTGCAACCAAGATTCTACTGATACTTTATTCAAAAATATTTGATTATATTTTTAACAAAATACTTGATATTTCTCATTTTTATCATTAATAAATCTTATCTTGAAAGACAAGTTCTTATCAACTTGAATATCATTAAATATATCTTTAATTAATCATCTTGATATTATTTCCAACTCTCTTCTTGTCGGTCTTCTTATCATAAGTTTGTCTTTTGCATTAATATTGGCATTGCTATTGGAGTAGTGAATTGAAAATATTATCTTAGAACTTTTATCAATAAATATAAAACTAAATCTCTACAAATCAACCTTCAAAATAAAAATTTATAGACATCCAAGTATTTGAAAAATCTTAAGCATCATCAATATTTGTGGTCAAAGTAATCTCTTAAATATGCTTCTTTTTATTGTACTTAATTTCTTGCAAAGTATTCTTTTGCTTGCTAATTAGAGTTTCTTTGAAAAAAGTCTTTTTTTTAATATTCTTTACAACCTTCTTCATCCTTATCTTCTATATGTCAAAATAAGCATTAATTATCTAAAAAGTCTTAGCTTCTTTTAATATCTACAACAAATTTTTGAGATTCTTGAATATAAAGTTAAAATAATTCACCAAATTCAAATACTTAACTTTTAGATATTGTTTAAGATGCCACTAAAGGTTCCATCTATGTTTTTAATATTTTGTCTTGCAATACATTCATTCCTATTTATTTAAAATATGCTTATCATACACATATGTCCAAATGGGGTTTGATTTTACTCTATGCATCTCAAGTAAGAAATTTATGAATTTCATAAAATCTCAATACTACATATGATTTTATTTTTATTAACATTCATTATCTCTTCTATTGTAATAATGATTTCCACACAATTCAAGGGATTCATTTTATTCTTTTCTTAGAAAGCAATAGGAAGCTCTTAGCATCCACAATTTAAAGCTTTCAACATTGTTGATACAATGTTTGCATCAATACATATATATTATTATTACATCTAATTCTTTATAATGGAAATTGATAACAATTCCAATTGCAAATAGATTAAAATGTAAATGTTGTTACTTTGTAATTATACTTTGTTGAATTTCTTCTCTTTTGTTGTTTTAAACAATGTTTAATGTACTAGCAATGATAACAATAACAATTGCCAACAATTATGAAATGTTGTTGTAAATTAAACCATTCTAGCTCTTAATGAAGGTCATTGAATTGCCTTCCTTTGTGATTTCTTTAAATGTTATATCCTTATAAATTGGAAAATTTGACATAATAATTGTTCTTATTGCACATTGGAAGAAATGTATTATACAAAAGTCTTAAAATAAAACAAAACTTAATGTTGCTATCAACATAATAGAAATAATTTAACAAAAATCATTCAAACTAATATTTTTTAAAACTTGCTAGTTGTTGCTACCTACATCAATGAACTCTTGTAGTAATTCAATTTTTATCTGAATCAAAAACATTTCCAAATCTCTTATTACCTACATTAGTTTCGTAATAAGAGATTTGGCCTGACATTACCAAACATATATCATTTGGTAATATCAGGCTTTAAATGCAATTCATTTAATTTATTCAACATTATTGTTCAGAATATTGAGTTGAATACAAGTATCACAATTAAAAGCATCGCACAATTGTGCTGCGTACCCCGGAAATCTCACAACCAGTAGACCGCCACATAGGCAACCAGGCTTTTAATGCAAAATCCAATCAACCCTAATCGCATCTACAAAAATCCAGTCTAAATCTTAACTCTAACCAAACTTGAAAGAATCATGCGCATGTTGTCATGTCATGTATGTCAACGCAAGCTGAACTTGTGAATTTGACAACACTGTCAGATTTATTTCAAGCTTCAGAGTTTGCACAGTTTGCCAGCAATCCCTCAATAGCAGAACAGACAAAAATGGGCTTGAATGTGAAGTTGGAAAGTGAAGGAACATGGGCGAGTCAATTGCATAAAGAAGCAGACACTCCTCTCAATACATTGATCGAAATCTGATCTCTAACCATCGCAATCGAAATCATTGATTGCGTCTTATGTCCACACAAGCAAAACATTATGTCCCTTCTTTTGAGATCAGCAATCTTTAGACACCTATAGCTTTAAGAGGTTAGCGAAATGAATCGAAGGGACAGCCAACACATAAAAAGCCTTCAACGATGAACATCGAACCTAGGTCTGCAGGAGACAAAATGTTAACTCTTGGATGAGGAACGTATGCCAGGGCTAATCAAACTCTGTAATCATGTAGTAATCAAATGATGTAGTAATCAAACACCTAATTGTTCACCAGCCTTTCGAGCTTATTACAGCGATGAGGGGTCCGAAAGTCCTATCTACGGCAGAGTTCCACAAATGAGCTAGATCGGCCCGCGCTTCTCTTCCCAAAATTGGAGGCGGACTCTGCAACCGTCACATCCGCAACTAAATAAACATTACATTTGCACATAACAATTGTTTCTCCACCAATCAAAACCATATTGAATATTTCTTCTTCGAGGAAATAATCTTTCAAACGTACGTTTCCAGTAATTAGCACACCAGCACGAAGAGGGGTGAAGCATCCTAGATCGTGAGGAGCTTATCGGAAGCACCACGGATTAAACATCAACAATTTTGACACCCAAATCGATACGCAAAGAAAACGCTAAAGAAAGCATCAGAATCAGCACAATCTCACACACAAGATCCAGCTCCATACCGAAATACCACGGGCAGCTGGGAGAGTCCCTCGGGACAACATCTCGGCAAGACCTGCAGTCGACTTCCAAATCTCTCGTTGGTCGTACATGGAAACCCCCGCCCCGACCAATCCTCCCATAACGAAGCCCAGCACCCGCTCCTGCCACAATTCGACCCACCAACCAAACCCCCCCACCCCCATTCCATCATCGTAGGAACAACAACAAATCCGAATTCAGTCACCGAAGCGAAGCGCGGAAGAATTTCTTCGACGACCAAACACTAACCTGGAAAAGGATGGAAGGGTAGAAGAGAGGCATTATGGATGATCCGATTGATTGAGCTCCTCGCAATCACAATACTCAATCCCGAATGCTCAACGGCAATCACTGCGAGGCACTCACTCACTCCCTGTCGATCATCGACTCTCCAGGACCTCTCCCGAAACCCTACCGCTCCCATCTCCACTTCGGCCGCTGGGCGTTGCCGCTAATGACGCCGCGTCAGTTCGCGGCGGTGTTCGTCGTGACGCATGACTCCTCTCATGGAGTCGCTTGTGGTAAACTTTGGTTTGAACACAGAGGTGGGGTTTTTATTTTTTTATTTTTTTATTAGGGTTTTTCGTTCGGGATGTGAACTGTCAACATTGTTTAGAGTCGTAGTTGTGTTCTGATGTCCAAATTTGTCAGTAGTTTAGGGTCATTGCGGAGTTTAAAGTGGGTTTCAACCATCGCTTGTGGGTGTGAGTTAGTGAGGAAATGCTCCTAGATTGGGGACCTCCCAAGGAGAATGAATATTTTTAGTAGATGGTCATCCAAATTAGTAATTCACTTAAGTTTTAAATATATTAATGTGTTTTTTTCTCTAGGTTAAGGGTGGTGAGGATAATTGAAGAATGATGAGTCTAAGTGAAAATATATTAGTGTAGCACATGTATTAAAGTTTTAAAAAAAATAAAAAAATAATCCTCCCTCATGGAAAGTTTTCAACTAGAAACCTTTGCTGTATCTAGAATCCTTGTTTTCTTTACATGTGCCATCTTTACTTTTTTTAATTGTTCATAGAATGAAGTTTAAATATAAATTTAACTCTTTTTTTGTTTTTAAAAAATAATTTTTTAAAAGAAAAAATTGAAGCTAAGTTGTAATAGACTGGGTTAACAAAGCTTTGTGCCTAAGGTGTGTTATGATTTTTTCTGCCCAATGTATACAAATATGTTAGGTTAAAAGTTCTGTTGTGAAAGTTATGAAAGTTGTTTGGGAATTATGTTGAAAGATCTTTCACATTGAATAGCTGCTTCTCAATCAAGCGTGTTTTTTATTATTTCATTTTTTTCTGTTTCTGATGCTATCTCCCCTTCAAAACTGGTTGTATAAGGTTGTACCCCGCAGAAATGGTTTCACGCCTATTATCGTTGATTACGAATAAGTTGTGCCATTCTTGACTCAACAAAAAAAACTGAGCTGAATCATGAAGGGGTTCTCAGTTGCCTGTCAAATTCTCAATCCAGATTATGGAGTTAAAACTATAGACTGATTCAATGAAAATGCTATACAAGCTGTATCAACAATCTATGGTATTATCAACGCAAGAACAGTAATGACAGATTGATGACTTTTACTGCTTTATGTTCAGCATATTTCAAAGCAAGGACTATGATAAATACTCTCTTTGAAATTGGAAACAAGTATTCGAAGTTGAGGGACGATGTACATTGACCTTATATCACTTTACATAATACCGATTCCATAATTCTGAAGCCAAGGTGATTTAGACTAGTAAGTCTTCTGTCAAGATGCTTTTTATTGAGTTAAGGTCGCTATAAATGTGGATAACATTTGTGTCAATAGGAGATATAATTGAGAATTATCCGTACATTAAAATAACAAACTAGAAAATGTGCAACCTATCCTGGTTCTGGAAATGGACTTAATTTGGGGCGAACACAAATATATGAAAAATACCCTACTCTCATTACATTCCTCAAATAGAGGTCTGTCTTCAATATACCTTACAGAAAAATGATGATTTGTCAAGGGCAGGATTCAGCTCACCAGTAAACGTACACTCCTTATCGTCACAAATAGCCTATCTAGGTCTAAAGCACATTTCTAGTATAACTTGCCGAGACCTTTCAGCAGTGAATGTCACATGCTCCCTTGCACAAGACTAAAGAGATACCAGAAATGTACATTCAGCCTTAGTGTGGCATGAGTTAATGTCCACAATATAGCGACAATGCGTGACCACCACCTGAAAGAACACGTCCGGTGGTGCCCCATGTGATTTCAAGAATATAATGACAACCTGTCTGAATTCTACTAACTACAGGCATATCTCGCACCTGTCTCAGTTATCCATCGCAAACATCTACAAAAACCGAAATAATTAAAATTAGAATGCAACTCTTGTTGCCAGAAAGCCGCTTCAAAAACAGCTACAACTTGACTTTCAATCAATTGTATATTCCCAGTAACAAAGGTGTAATGACCAACAAAATTGACCCAACCCCAGTCCGAAATCTCTACAAAAACATCCACAAGCCCAGTAACCCATAAACACTGGATTCCACTCAAGTCGACAGACAGAAGAGTACTAAGTGTGACATGGTAAAGGTACCCGTTGCCTAAAATGTAATGATTTCCTACAACCAAACTATCCTCCAGACTTCAAAACCCAACAGGGCAATTCGAACAAAAATGAGCAACAGCAATCACTTGAAAAGATAACAATAGAAAGCTTAAGGACTTTACGGTTCTTTCAGTACCTCAATTTATACATGTCAAACTTCGCCAAAGAGATCTGATTAAACAAGCTATAAACAAGTCAAAAGAATAAGAAGCACCTTCATAAAGTCTCCAAGTATGCCTTGCATACCATTTCTTCGCTGCAAATTATAAAACCGCTCCCCTATTTCATTCAGGTACTGCATTCCCAATGCAATTAAGTTTTCAAAACGAAACGGAACAACCTTAAAGGAAAAAGAAAAAAAAAAAAAAAAAAAAAAAAAAAAAAAAAAAAAAAAGCAGCATGATCAAATGGAGGAGATAATTGATAATGCACATGATAGTCCACACAGTTTGTTAGACAACATGTTGTAGACTCCTCAAGTAAGCTGCTATCCGATTCGAAAAGATGCTGAAAACATTGACTTAGAACATGACTTCCCAACACACCTCATCATAGGAAGGATCGCGATCAAGACTAGACTTGTACTCTTGCTTAAGCATCCTGAACAACGGAAGTGCATCTCTCTCAAGTCTGCAAACACAGCCAACAAAAGAACATAGATTTGAGAAGATTAAATTCTGACAGTGAGAAAACTAACGTGACACGCTTTACACAACTATACACTCTGATATTAATGTAGGAAAAGCATATTAACAGGACAGTGCTAAAAGACTACCAAAAATGCAACAGGTCTGCGATGCAAAGACAAGGAAAACACTAGGTTCACATACGTTAATAGAAGGAACTTGATAAATTGCAACAGTGGAGTATCCGGAAGTTCTTGAAAGTTGTCGCTCAGTGTTTGCTTAACAGAATCCCACAGGCGATTGGCATCTCTCAGATTACCTAGGGACAAATATCTGCACACGAAGTAACGTTTAGTGAAAAATGAAGGAAATTGTGTTGAGAGAGAGAGAGAGCGAGAGAGAGACTGGTGCCCAGGTTGAAGACTTACAGCAAGATGGCCCTCGCAACCACCAAATCCGCTTCGCCAGAATAGCACTGCAATATAGGAGAATAACCACAACATAATGATATACATAAACTATTACTACAAGAGACTCTCCTCTACAAAGGGTCACGACATAGAAAGAAAGAACAAAGCTAACAGGTAATGAATGTTAAAAAAACACTGAGCTCAATGTTAGAGATTCACAATATAAGGAGACAATACCCCACCATTAGTGATCAATGAACAGTACCTTGTCCATACAGTCGACAACAACTTTAGCGAATGTCTCCGGATGATTCCCTCGCACAAAATGTTGTGATACTTTCGTCATTTCCTACAGAAGATTGATCCAGAATATGAGATATTGAAAAAACAGCCAGCTTTGCAAAAACAAAAATTACAACTTCTTCGACAACAAAAGCTCATTACCCTCTCTTTGACAGCAAACATGTAAAGGCAATCATGTCATGAAAACAAAAATGTCACAGTTCATATCTTCGTACATCAACCCTATTAGAGCAGAACAATATACAGAAAATTTATAGCTGAATATGAACAGTGTGAAATTCAAACTACCTTCTCAGCACTAGTAACTACATTTAATATTTTCTGTGAGCTGGATGACCTAGGGTATCAATCAAGTTTCAAATGGCTCTATATGATTTCTAAACCGAAAAAGTATACACCTAACCTTGCTCGCTGCTGAAGTGTACGAAAAGATTGTTCACAACTACCCACAAGTAGAACTCATAAGGTCTTTACTTAGTATGCTTACAGGAGTGGGAGCTTCAGTCCAAATGTATTCGCCAAGCATGTCATGCAACTCAGGGGCACCTCTGGAAAAGCCCCCAGTTTCAGTCGACCACCTGCATAAGGGAATGATAAACAATAACGTCAGCAAGCAACAGGGCAGAAGATGACTTGAAGAGAAACGAAATAGATTGTTGTTTAAGACCAAAAATGAAAATGAAACCAGTGAAAAATATTGGCGAAAGCAAGAAGCTGTACTTAAGAGCTGCCCGCAAGAACGATGTGCATCCCTCAACACGAGTCCTTGCAATGACTGCGGCCTCAGAAGCTTCTGTGTCTGAGTAACTCGCCCCTTTGTCACCTGATAGCTTTTGATCTGTGCTTGACGCCCGTGGATATGCATTATAAATTTCTCTTATTTGATCTGTTCGAAAGTAAAACAAAAGAATGACTTAGAAGTTTCTTAAAAAGCAGTACGAAATGCAATGTTCAGCTTATTGAAACAAAGCGCCACATGTACGGAATACAGCCAAAAATACGGTAGACGTACAAGCAGCAAGCTAGCAAGGTAAAAAAAATCAAAACCTTATTGGGAATGAACTTAAAACTTTATTTGCTTGATCTTTGAAATAACTACTTCAGAAAAAAGATAAATACACACCCAATGTAGAACTATCGAAAGGTGTTTTGGCCACATGGAACGTCTGGATCAAAAGCAAAGCAAGCTCTGTCCCACATGTGACCTGCGAATGGATAACCAATGACAAAACTCTGTAACACCATCTTTTAGCTCCTCTAAACAAAATCCAATTGGTTACGTAATGTCAATATGATCAACTAAATTTCAGCAGATGATACGTCAATTTTACCAACAAAATCATTCCACAAATAACATGTTTGACTGGAGATACACCACAATTTGGAACTCAGAGGCAGATGGGTACCTCCCCATGCTTAAGCATCGCCACGGCACCAGAGTTCAAGAGTTCACTGGCCTCCTTGTGCTTCTTTGCGTGCATGTATCTAGCAGCAACCACACCGACGAACCCACTACGTTAGTCAGAAAGTCACGACAAGGACTTGCACAATCACTCAAAAGTTAACATGTCGCCAGATCAGATCTAAGAAGCTGTTAGTCAGACTTCAAAATAAAGGAAAAATGAAACCACCAAGGAGATACCAACATTTTCCAAATAAGCAAATTATGAATTGATAGCCTTGAATTTACAAATTCTCGGATACAAACCAACCAATCTCCACCATCGGTCTGAAGCAATGTAAATTCGCAATGGTCAGAGCGATGGTTTATGCTCTCCAGGGAATTTAACACTCGAACGTTAATACCGTTGACTAATGCCAGAAGAAGAGGGAGACGAACTCCGGAATTAAATTACCAAAAACCTAGCACGACATAGCATTACAACTAAGTCCAACCCAGACGATACCCTCAATGGATTCGCAGCATGAAAACACCCGATTCCAATGCGTGTGCTACCTGGAATGAACCGCCTTGTACATTTGTTGGGCTTCATAGTAGTTCCCCTCGTGAACTTTCTTCCGAAGCGTCTCCAATTGCTGCCAACCACACCCAATACGTGCAATCAGCTAGGTCCATCACCGATCATCTGAACTCTTCTCCATTGAGCCATACGACAACCAAGAGTAGTGCCCAAACCATGCTTCCCCTTTCCAAGCTGAGACCGTCAACGAGAATACCCACCAATACAACCACACACACACACACAAAAAAAAAAAAAAAAAAAAAAAAAAAAGGAAAAAGAAAAAAAGAGGAGTATAGTAACAAATCAAGACATACCTTGGAAGTACCGCTGCTATACGCAGCGACTACCATCTTGCTGCAACTAATGGTGCTGACTGTGATTTACAAATCTCCACAATGTTTTGCTCGTACCGATCCACGCAACAACGAAAAAAGAAAACCTGAACTCCACTGCCAAGCAGAAACTGCTCGTCGAACTACACGAAATCAGAAATCACCTCCACAAAATGGGTGTCATTAGAATCGTCGCATGTTGAACTGATAGATGAGCGGGAATAAATTGGTCGCTAACGATTGCACGCGGAGGATAAATGGGCGATTTGGTCGCTAAACACCGGGTTTCGCCATCGCTGCTGCAATGATGGGGTCTCTCTGTATATGACCAAGACACTGTCCAGCGATCGATGGATGAATGAATTTAAGGATGAAATAATACTCATGGATAAATTCTATTTCTCATCCATATGGGTGACAAGAATAGGATTCCTTTGAGATGTTTGGATTCGGTATTATTTGCTTCTTTTTGTTTGTTTTTAGTACGAAATAATCCCATTGGTATCAAAACTCAATCATAGAGTGTAATGAGAGGAGTTAAATAATCATTTGAATGCACAGAGTCAAAATATACTGTGAGAAATGCACATTTCATTCAAACAATGTAAATCAAAACATTAAAAAAAACTTTATCATTAAAAAACTTTGAAAAATTCAAAAATTTGACAACAGATTTCTAATCATTTATATGTGATATGGAATTTAATCTATGAACCAAGGATTTATGATGCTATCTTGGAGGAGATTCAAATGGTAACAGACATTTTTAGAATTAACATTTTTAGAATTAACTTACTGATTCTTCTATGTATATACTAGTGGTTAAATCCATTGGTTTTGAGAACATTGAATACGTTTTTGGCAACCAATCAAAAGAAGAAGAAAAAAAAGAAAAAAAAAACACACACACACACACACACACATACACACATGATATATATATCGGCCCTCCAATGCTTTAGCCAATGGGATTTTTTGATGCTACATATAAAAGTAGGCTACTCAATTTATTTATATATATATATATATATACACATATACATACACACATTAGAGTTTTAGTTTCAGTATATAAATGGCAATACTGATTGATTATTAAACTACATAGATATAAGAATTGTAACAAAAATTGCTATTATAAAACATAATAAATTTTTGTTTGAAATATTACATAATTAATTTAATATATACATGAATTAAGGCCCTGGTTTTACTATTAATATAAAAACAACAAAAATTATATATATATAATTTTTTAAATACATATATGATAAAAATAATATATAATCTGTAAAAAGTATTAAAGAAATAATTTTAAAAAATTAATAACAGTACATAAAATAGATATAAATATACTAAAATAAGATAACTCTTAAGTTAGACAGATATTTATATTATAAACTATAAAAAGAAATAATACTATATATATTAATTTAAAATTGTAAAATAAAATTAATTCTAATATTAAAAATCATCAAAATACTTAAATTGGTACTTTAACAACTATGCTAGCTTGTATCAAAGACATGAATGTTAAGAAAATTTTGAGAAGATAATAAGTTCCTGTATCATTGAAATAAGAATGTATATTGAAAAAAATAGTATAGATATAAGATTGAAAAGAAACTAAAATAGCTTTCTCCAATTACAAAGAAAATTAGAGAATCTTTAATCAAGACTTGAATACAAGAAATATATTTATAAGATTCTACATATTTGCCCAAAACAAAGAAAATAACAAATAGATCAAAATAAAAATAAAAAAGATACAAACATAGGCTCTTCCAACTAGAAAGGTAGCTCACACTCACTTCTCCCTTCAATTTTACTACAACGATCTTTAAAATAATAATAATAATAATAACAATAAATAAACATAAAAGTGCAATTATCATCAAACTTGGCATAATAATCACAAATAATCCAACTGATAAAGCAGAGATGTCATCCAAGCGTCTTCCCCCAGGCGGATCGCCCCGACCCGACCCGTCCCCACATTTGCGGGGGACGAGTTGGTGAGGAGACCGCGGGGGAAGCATGTAAGCGAGCAAGCAAGACGGTGCAAAAAACGAGTCGTCGTCGTCGTCGCAGCATCACAAAGAAGAAGAAGAAGCATCGCGAGCATCGAGATAACTAACGTCCATCCGGGCTCCTCCTCCTCCTCGTTGTCCTCGTTCTCCATCAGGATTAATCCATCGCGAAAACGAGAGCTTCTCTCGTAGATTTGTTACTCTTCCCGTTGCGGTGCGTTTTTGCGACGTCTCTGGTTTTAGGGTTAGCGATTCGTGTTTGCGGTGTTGTGTGTTTCCCCCGTTGCGTTCAGTTGTAGGACGGTGTATTGCTGTTCTGTGGGACCATCGGTATTGGTAGGGTTGGCGACATGCCGACGGTGAGCGTGAAATGGCAGAAGGAGGTCTTCTCCGCCGTGGAGATTGACCTCGATCAGCCAGGATATGTGTTCAAGTGTCAACTGTATGATCTTACCGGCGTGCATCCGGAGAGGCAGAAGATTATGGTTAAAGGCGGTTTGCTGAAGGATGATGCGGACTTGCATAAGCTGGGGTTGAAGGAAGGCCAGCGGCTGATGCTCATAGGCACCGCTGATGCGATCCCGCAAGCGCCTGCTGAGGTCCCCGTTTTTGCCGAAGATCTGCCGGAGAAGGAGCAGGGTGCGGCTGTGCTTGGCCATACGGCCGGGCTTGTCAATTTGGGGAATACTTGTTACATGAACTCCACGGTGCAGTGCTTACACTCAGTGCCAGAGCTCAGAGACGCGTTGCGAGGCTACTCTGCCGCGGGCGCCAACATTTTGGATCCCCTGTCGCACACCCTAACCGTGGCTACACGCGATTTGTTTAATGAGCTGGATAATAGCGCCCGACCTGTGGCGCCATATCGGTTCCTCACTGTGCTACGAGACAAGTGCGATCCTTTTCCTCTTTCCTACCACTTTCTTATTTGCTTGTGCAGTGTGCCACTGAGAAATTTACATATATTCTCGCTTTTGGACTGAGGTTTGTGTGTACTGTAAGAATAGTGCTAATTTTTGTTTCATCTTAATTATTTGATGATGGTGTTATAATCCATTTCGATCTTTAGTTGAGAATCATTTACTCTTGGAATTTATGATTGGTAATCTAGGGTTGACCTCTTCGTAATTTAGATTATGTGGAGTCCGTTCCTTCAAGGATCAAAACTCCTAGGTGTACAGTTCGATCTAAATGCTTTTATCTTTTGTGGAATTGCTGTTTGGGCGTATAGGTCCTGAAGCTTCATCGCTCGTTTTGGTGATCGTGCTTGCATTGACTGTACACTGGTTCTGCTACTGGTTAACCCCTGTTGCTAGATGTAGAATATGTACGCCGATTTTAATGTATTCTATTAATGTTATTGGCAGGTATCCTCAATTCGGCCAACAGACAAATCAAGGCGTCTACATGCAACAAGACGCGGAGGAATGCTGGACACAGCTAATATACGTTTTGTCACAGGGGTTGAAAAGCTCGTCAATTAACAAGCAGTTATCAGCACCTCTAGTGCAGGAGTTGTTTGGTGTTGAGTTACAAAATACATTGAAGTGTGCAGAAAGTTCTGAGGCAAGTTCGGAGAATGAAACGGTGTTCAGTTTGAAGTGCCACATCTCACAAGAAGTCAATCATTTGCATGATGGTTTGAAGCATGGTTTGAAAGGGGAGCTTGAGAAGACTTCACCACTGCTTGGACGGAGTGCTCTGTTTATCAAAGAGTCTCATATTCAGAAGCTTCCTCAATATCTAACAATACAGTTTGTGCGGTTTTTCTGGAAAAGAGAATCTAATCAGAAAGCCAAGATCCTGCGGAAGGTGGGTTATCCACTGGTTTTAGATGTATTAGATTTCTGCACAGAGGAGCTTAAAGAGAAACTGGTTGAACCCCGTAGAAGGCAATTTGCAGCTGAGGAAGTTAAAGCTGGTCTGAAGAAGGATGAAAAGGGGAAAGTGGGTGCAGAAGGGGTGAAGTCGCTCGAGACATCAACCTTGAGCGAACGAAAAGAACATGATATGGATACTGATGGTTCAGCAACTTCTTCAACCACAAAATCGGATGGAAGTGGAGCTGCCACGGAAGTCTCTGGAATATATGATCTCGTTGCAGTGCTGACACATAAAGGGCGTAGCGCTGATTCAGGTCATTATGTTTCCTGGGTTAAGCAAGATAATGGAAAATGGATAGAGTTTGATGACGATCAACCAACTGTCCAGAGGGAGGAGAGTATTACAAATTTATCAGGGGGAGGTGATTGGCATATGGCGTACATCTGTTTGTACAAAGCACGGGCAGTCCCGCCCGCGTAAGATACTGTTGGCTATCTTAGCGTTATACAGAATTGGTTGTTATATTGCAAATTTTGCTCACTTGCAGATTGAGATTACTTGCAATCAAGGCTTGTAGGCCAATGGACATTCTGTAGTACTTGAAGATCACATTGTGTTCCTCTGGGTCAAGTTTACTGATCCATTCTGTTAATGCAGTGAACGAAAGAAAAGACATCGTCTATACTTCCCCAGAACTAGCTTTTGTCTTGTTCATGTCTTACTCTAATGTGCTGCCCTTCTTGTCCCATTTGCTGAGGCGGAGGTTAGAGACATTCTTGGGGAATTTTTACTTAACCTTTGTACGTTTGGCTAGAGGCCTTTCAAAAGATTGATAAAGACATTTATTGTGTGCTCAATTGCAATAATTGGCTTACTAAATGGTATTGAATTAGTCTTTCACATTTTACACGGTGGAACCAAGGGAATATATATATGCATACATATATAGATAGACAGATAGATGTGGGTATGTCTTTCAAAAAGATACATTCTTAGTTATGTTTTATGTAGTTTTCTAGCTTTCAAGATCTAATATCTTAGTAGTTAAGAAAACTAAAAACTTTTTTGCATCACATCTTTGAACTTATATCAATCTATGTCTATCACATTTTATATGATTCATCAAATAAAACTTGTTAATATTACTTAGACGAATTAAATGTAAAATTCAAATAAACAAATGGATATTCATATATATATATATATATATATATATATAATCACAAAAACAAGTTTTATCCTTAGTTGAGTGGTTGTATATACTTTGAGTAAAGTTCTTAAAGAATTAAATCTAAAATCTCATGTACTTCATGAAGATTTGGCTTGCATGGAAAGAAAATTATTACAGAGGTGTCTTAAAATAATAATAATAATAATAATAATAATTATAAAATTGAGATGTTTACTAATGTATAAGTATCTAATACAAAAGTGAACATGAAAATTTCACTCTTATTTTGTAAGCAACATTGTAGACTATTAACATTCTACAAACATGACTAAAGACAATCACATGATATAGTTGATAGCATTTGTGGAGCTTATTGTAAAAATAATTGCATAGATTTTTAAAATAAATATTTTTTGAAATCTTTGTTGATTAGATTATGATTTAGGTAATAATTGATGAGATAATTTTATAAAGTTGACCACTAGAATATGAGAATTAATAAACTATAATAGTAAAAAATATATAAAATTTAAGACACCAAAACATTGATAACAATATTGTGATTTAATACAATAGTGTTGTTTTTTTTATTTTAAATGTTCATAACAATAATATGCATAGTTTTGTGTAATAAGTAATAATTATTTATTAAAAAAAAGTACCAATCAATAAAATAAGTAAAAGAATAGTTATTGTCAATTACAATGGAGGTACTTAATTTCTAGTCTTTATTTTGGTGTTTATTATAAGACTTATAATATACATAATGCACAAAAAATTGGAATATAGTTTATTGAGTAATAAATGATAGAATGTAGTTGCGCAATACATGAGCTTATTTTATCATATATATAATCATCCTAGTTTTGGATTAAAATAGCTGGTATTAAAAAGAGTGGATTCTTATAGAATATAACTTAGGGAGATTAAAGTATTGATAATAAATTTCTTTACAAAATTGAAAGATATTTATCTAATATAAGCATAAGATGGGTGAAAGAATTTAACAACAAATGTTTTTAAAAAAAAAATTGAAATTGCTTCAATTCATTAAAATATGGTAAATAAGCTATGCAACATCAAAGAAAAATAATTGGCTCATGATGATGACCACATGCGAGTTAGTTAAGCCAAACACTTATCATAGAAAATAATATATATATATATATATATATATATATATATATATATATGTATGTATAAATTTCATAAAAATATATACATATATGTGTATATATACATATATATATATATATATATATATATATATATATATTTCTTTCCTTCATTCTTTAAATTTTTAAATTTTTTAAAAAATTAACAAAAAAATAGATGTTAATAGTAATATCTAAAATATATTTTATTAGAAATATATATGTATATATATATATATATATATATGGTATAACATATAAGAATCTAAAAACGCCATGTATAACATATAAAAGATGTTAAGAAAAAATCCAAAATAACAAACAAATAATCAACCAAGATGTCATTTAAAATATTGTAGAAATATTAATATTAATTTTAATTTTAATATATAGTGGTAAAAAATTATGATTTTATCTATATTTATTTAAAATCAATTAAAATTTATCATTTTAAAATTATATTAAAATCTTATTCTTCTATATATGTAATAAAGTATATTTCTAATTTTATATATAAATGTCAATTCATAAAAATTCTACAAGTAAAAGATATAAATGATGAAATCATACAATAAATTAGTATAAGATGCATGATATATCATGTGATGTGGCATCAAGTGCCAAATTTCATCGGATGTATATGATTTAGTAGTTTTTCCATCTGTTTAGCTTTTTTTGTTAGTTGACTTTGTTAATGTCAACTAGGGTTTGAAAACTTAGGTAGAAAAACCCCTTGACTTGATATTCTTGAGAGAGAGAAAGCTTGTTGTAAGGGATTTGTTTGGCTAGGGTGATTGGCTATTTAGTGAGCTTTAGGATTTTTCTTCTACTCATACTTGCACTCTTAGATTCCCATTTTGTGGTGTGAGAGATAGCTTGACTTACTTATGTAGAGATTCTTCTTCTTTCGTTAAGAGTGTATTGGTTGTGAATTTGTATTTGGTTTAGATTACATATTTTGTGATTTGTTTGTAGCACTTAATGTGTTAAGTGTAATAATCTTTGTTTATCCAATATCTAATATACAATCAACATTATATGCACAAGGTTTTATTTTGTATTTTTATTTTTTAAAATTAATAATGCATCTTTTATATAGTCATTTGGTTATATATATATATATATATATATATATATATATATAAAATAAAATTAGGATATTTTAGAAATATATTAAAATAATAAAATAATAATAATTATTGTTATTAGTATTAAATTATTTTTATAATTTTTTATTTTGTATATAATATTTGCAAATTTATAAATTAAGAGATTTTTCAAGATTTATTTTTGAAAAATGTTACAATACAATGAAAAATATGTTAATATATATTGCAAAATAGAAATCTATTATATTATCATTATTATTATTATTATTTAGAGTATCTTGTAAGAAGTGGTAAAATATTTGTATCTAATTTATCCGCATAATAATGTAAAAAAGGCTTAATATACTATATATCCAAATTCAACTAAACTAGTGTGTGTGTGTGTGTGTGTATTTTTATGTATGTATGTATGTATGTATGTATATGGTTGTTCTCCAGTTTGTTTTGTATTTTTCTTTCATAACTTTACAAATAATTTTTTTCTTTTTCTGTATTTCTAATTTTTTATAGAAGTTTTGTATAAATCCATGCATTTTACTAATGTTATTTGTATGCTAAATGGCACAAAATCTCACTAATATAGTATGATATAATGTGTGTATATATATATATATATATACACACACCCATAAATGTACAGACAAAAGGCTGAATGAGTTGGGAGGGGTATGATAGATGCAGTCAAGAGAGACGTTTTATACAATGCCATTTGGCCACTCCCTGGCAGTTGCAGGTTCCAGCTGTGCTATGGCTGCCACGCAGTGTTTTACTTACATCATCGTGCTCTGCGACCTTTTGCCTCTGTCCCGTAAAACCACGCTTTTCCCCAAACAGGCAGAAATGCGACAATTGTTGGTCTTTCCCATTCAATCTCCTTTTTCCTATTCACTGATCACAAGAATGTCCATGTTGACAAATAAAGAGCTTTACTCCATCGTTTCTCAGCGTACACGTGAACCTTCGGGCTTCGACTTCCAGGTCAAACTTTAAGTGGACATCAAGGTTGGGGTATGTCGTAGTTTGGTTCACAGGAATCAAGGTTGGACAGTAGAGAACGTGATTTGGCAACTCACAAGTTTTGAAGCCGCTGCATCTGACCGTTCCGATGGTGAAAACTTATGATTATCTAGGTCTGAAAGCAATGATGCTTACATAACTTAAGAATGTCACTAGTAGCAAGGAGTAACTGATCCAGGTTTTTTCAGCGTGTGTGTGAGAATGTAACTCTGAAGTGGATTCAAAACAACTAAGCACCAGATTTCAATTCCGGAAGTGGAGTGAATATATCTTGTTACATACTACGAGGTAGACGTCGTAGATTTGGGGAACAAAAAAAGGTTACGACTTCAAATTTGCCAACAGTTTCAGGATTAAAGCATCATGACAGAAAAAGCGTCGGTACAAAGGAGGACCAAGACAACAAATCTTAGTGAGTAACTTGAGGCATAACTCAGTCATGGAAGAGATTTTGCAAACTTGCGTGCCAAACGGTTCTCCAACACGGTTGTTGCACTTGAAAGAAAAATTGACGACCGAAGCAATGCTCCAAGCGGCCTTCGAAGTCATATGCACAGAACCAGTTTCACTGCCCAGGACTGATTGTAAAGAAATTCTAGTGTACGATGGCCGTGACAGCCACCTGCAATAGGTTGAATAAAAAGCAGCCAGCTGCAATCAAAAAGAAGCAATATACACATCCTACTGTACTCCAAGTTTCTGTCTAGAAAACAACACACGCATATCACTCAGTTATGGGGAAAAATCCAATCAACCAGAAGACCTCACTATCGGTGACCAAGGCAGACAAAGAGTGGGAAATATTCTCCCATCGTCCTGGTGCTTCAGAATCCTACAATCCACTCTCCAACGCCAGGCTTGGACTTGCACTAGTAACAGGAATCCTCCGTCCAATCTGCAAACATTGAATGTGCTGGGGTAATGAAGCTTTATATACCATTATATCTTCTGCTGCATCAAATTCTTCGGCCAACTGAAACAGCTCAGGATCTTCTGGGGTATTGAGAAGAAGATAAGACTGATGAGCAGAGGGCTCGCAAATAAGGAGCTGCGCCTCCCTCCTTGCCATAGGTTTCACACAGGTCCACAAACAAAAATTGCTGCATCCTTGCCACAGACCGGCAAATGAGACGTCCACTTCCAAATGCCACTTGTCCCAGCGTTCTACTTCAAAAATCATGTAAGCACACATATCTTGTTCCCACTAGAAAGTATGAATCCCCAATAGTAGGGCTAGCTCAAGTGCAACTCAATATCAGGTGGCCACTGCAGTATGCTCCGACCCACTAACCACTAAGTTGTTTCCGTTCGAACCACCATCTCCAGATTCACTTCCACCAGGCAGTGTGTGAAATGCAGACGAGTGGAAGGATTGTGGCGGATGAAGATTAAGATATGCATTGTTCTGACCATGTTGCATCATGGTGTTATGATAATTTACAGAGTCTCCTTGTCCACTTAGCATGTCCATTCCTGAATGAGATGCTCGAGTGCTAGAAACGTTTCCCGCTTGTGAGGACTGACCCTCGTGAGAACCATGGTTACCATCGGAATTTGATTTTGAATCTCCTTCCTTTGCTTTAGTATTTAAGAACCGTCCCCCATTCCCCCTCGCTCTACGTAAGGCATGCTGATGCCGCGATTCATGTAGATATGGCTGAATTGAACATGTGAGAGACACAATTAGGACTTCTAAGTTACCTTTCTAGCTAAGAAAAGTCTGGCCAACCAAAACTAAACATATCACACGACGAGATATATCACCAAGCTCAACAGTTCTAACGATCACCAACAGAACTATAATTTACTGCCACCATAAAAGACAGATTCGGTTTAAAGCATCATGAGAGAGGTATTCAGGGCACATCCGAAGACACTAACATGGTAAATAGAAACCACACTAAATAACAGAGAAGTTTTGAACAGTGGAGGTGGAAGGAGAAGCATGTAACCACTATAAATGTTAACCGACTATCTTTGACGACTTTAAAATTACAAGGTTCTGTAATGGAGACTGCAGTAAGACGCATACATTACTGACTAAAGATCTTAAGTTCACAAATTTATATGACATCAATTTCCAGTGCCAAGAGGCACAGGCGAGGATATACCTTACGAGACTTGATAAGTTTGTTTTCCGACTCTGCTTTGGCTCGCGACTGTCGACGCCGCAAGATACCATGATATTGCTTAGCATTAACATACACTGGCTCTTCTTCCATCATCTCAGATGGGAGGGGCATTCGTGCTTGTTGAACCCCCAACATGTGGGGGTGAATCTATACCCACCAACAATATAAGCAATCTCAGAATATACCAATAACACTGGAACTTCGGATTCGTTACCCTGATTACTGCTGTCAACCACCAACCAAATAAACGGGCAAACTGATGCATAGCATTAAGGGTAATTACCACTGCTTGAGCGCCATAGGCGGCAACGATACCTCCAAAGTATGGGTCTGCAAATGGATATGCAGCACGTGCCTGCACCTCACATGATGAACTTCAGTTAGCATGATTTCCCCGAAAAAGAATAAGAAAATAGCAAAACAAAACAAAAACATAGATTAAAAGCAGTCGAAACCTTGCAACGTGCACCAACGCTGCGTACCTACATGACCCGGAACTTACCATAGAGTGGCCAAGCTCAAGTTGTGTGTGTGGTAAAAGATACTCCCCAGCCGTGGGAACGCCAGTAGGTGGACGCGGCGGCTGGTCCTCGGACCCAGAAGTTGCATAACCTACAAATTGACCACATAGTCACGACTTCTGAATTTTCATCATTCCTATGTCCTCAATCCAAGATACGCTCTGTAATATTGGAGGCAAGTAAAAAATCACTTATACTCCTCTTGATGTGCTAGCTAAGGACTGAATACGAGTATTGCCCTAATCTAAGTAAGTTGACGGGGGAGATCCTAAAAGAAGAACAAACATTCCAGAACAACAATCTTCAGTATGCCCAACTGGCATATCCACGATTCTGAACCGCAAACCCTTACTGCTACGTGTCCACCGGGATAAAGTACAGTGCCTAGCCAATATCCTCCAATCAAAATTCTGATGCATCTATGTGAAGATTATCAAAAAAAAAAAAAAAAAAAAAAAAAAAAGTATAAAACCACGCGGAAGAAAAAAGCAATTTCAGGGAAAATGACATCGAAGACTAGCAGCTGGTCAGGTTCGAGATGTTGGACATGCACACGAATCGATCATAACAACAATGCACAGGCTCCCCATAATCCAACACCGTACCCCATACTTCTTATCGACTCACTTGATTTGTCCAGACTATTAGGTTCTACAAAGCAGGGCAGCGCACCAGGTTGAGGAGGCAAGGCCTGCATCGTTGGAATCGCAGACTCCGAGTCAGTCGGGGCTGACGAGGGCGCCTGCATAGAGGTTGTCACAAAGCTACTCTGGATCTGATCGCCCGTCCTAGAGCCCCAATTTCTTGCCGCGGATCCGTTCCCCGCTGTGTGCCCGTCGACAAAGCTGATGTGCATAATTTTCCCGGAAAACCCTACATTGATTTACTCCGCCGACCGCTGCAATCTGACCCAGAATGGTCAAAAGCAAGGAATATTTCGTTTTTCTTAGTACGACAACAGCCCCGACTCACCGCTTCGGCAGACTTCAGATAGTGCACAATCGTCCAGTTTCGCCGCAGCGGATGACCGCCTCCACGACATTGTATCGCCCTGTCCTCACTCCCCTTTTCCAGGTCGACTCGTACCACGACCTCTGCCACCTCAGAAGAGTAGCCTACTGGCAGGCAACGCACTCAGACTCCTTCCCCGAAAGTTCTTAAGATACCGCATAATCTTGACCGATACAGCATCATATGCGCGATACCACTCGAATCAACGTGTCCGGCATCAGTAAGCTATCCCTACTTCACCCGACCGCAACCGCACAGCCGTCCCCCGTCCACTTTCAAATCGAAACCATACTGCCACCTTCAACAGTCATCGGTCGACCGACACAGCAACCAAACACGCCGTCCACCCTAAAGTCGAACAATACCACCTGGACACAATCAATCATCACAACGTCAGGTTCACAGGCGCTCCCCTAAACAACTCCCCGAACTAAGAGCACCCTCTGTCCCCTTTATCACACCCTAACACGCCCAATCTCAAAAATTCCATCCCAAGCTCCGCATGATCCACCCCAACCCTGACTCTTTCCCAAAAAAAAGAAGAAAAAAAAAAAGAATCTACCCGCCCTGACCACAGGAACAAGCGTGTGTGGAGGCGAAGAGACACCACGACCGTCCAACCGAAACCTGGACACTCTCTCACCTACAACTCCCACGCGATGCAGAGGCCAAGGGACGCAACCAACACAAGCACGACGTCCCAAAGAAGAAAAGAGAGAGAGAAAAGAAAAACACAGAGAGGGCGAGAGAGAGAGAACAAGAAGAAGAATAAGATTAAAATCGGAAGCCAAAGAGAGAGATAGAAGAGAGAGGGAGAAAAAACAAAAAGAAAACACCAAGACACCACTCACTCACCTCGATAGCTCACCACGAGCTGTCGTTCTCGACGACGCCTGGAGGTATGACCAGCAGCTACTACTCCCTCGCCGCGAGAATTATTAGAAACGTTGAATGACGCTGATAAGCGTGGTGCAGAATGGCAGGCCGAGACGCTGCCGGAGACGAAGCGGGGAAGAGCATCGAGCGAGGCTTGGAGACGCCGGGAGGGAGGGAGGCAAGCAGGGAAGGGAAGGGCAGGGTGGGGACGGGTGCGGGCTGGGTCGGGTCAGGACGGTGACGGGCGCGGGCCGGGTCCATCATCCCCTAGGGTGGGCTAGAGTAGAGTAGTAGGGCAGGTAGGCTCGGCTAGGCTGGGGTACGTGGGGGATAGTGGGGGAGGGAGTGTGAGTGAGTTGAGTGAGTTGGGGTTGAGAAGAGTGTAGAGTAGAGTAGGGTAGGGGTATCAGAGTTTTGGATGGAGTGGGGGCTGCCTCGTAGGATTGGCTAAACAGATAAGACCATCGCTTCCCCACCCCGCCCTACTTTTAATCCATAGCAACCCTAAGGGCTCCTTCCTCCCCTCCCCTCTCTCGTAGGGGCCACCCCTTAGAGGAGACGGTCAGCCAATTGATTGAGCCCATCCCACTGCCCATATTCTGTATCCACCCTCCCCATTTGTCACCAACTTGCCTGAAAAGCTACTAAGCCTTAGCCTGCCTACATCTCTAGCTTTGCTATTTCCCAACTATAGCCCCACTGACTGTCTCACTGACGCACTGACTCACAGTCATTCACTCACTCACTAGTTATTCATTCTCCTCGGCTGCCCGCTCTGCCCACTGCCACCACTCTCCTCCCCCGTTCCCTTCCGTTGCCTTTCTGTCCTTGAAGAAAGGCTCTGGAGGGTGGGTTTGACCCAGACTTGCCAGGTCGGATAGTATTTGTGGATGTGGGTTCCATTCGTTGCTATTACATTGTTGTTGAAGTGTTTTTGTTATTATGCTCTCTCTCTCGTTTGTCGTCGTTTAATTGATCCTCGTTGGATGAAAGTCTTTTGGTCATATAGGATGTGGGTGATACGGCACCGGCAGGCCCTCTCTCGGAGACTTCGGGTTTTCATTCATCCTCGTTTTCTCATCCATATTATCCATTCGTCTAGTTCTCTGTATTTCATTCGTCTGTTCCACATGTATTCATTCGTCCGTTGACTCATTCACAACAAGTTTCTTGTGACGTTATTTGCAAAACAAGAATCATAACAACAATGTCAATACTAATAAGTAAAAATATCAAATACTCAATAAATCGTACTCCAAAAACCACAGTTAATATTTAAAAATAGAATTATAGCAACATGTATTATGATAACTATATATTGCATGTATGTGAGCATTGTAGACTGTATCCACATTGATGTTTTGAATGTCAGGTAAATCATGTTGCATGGATACAATGATTTCTGTATATGACAAACATTTCTACTAACTTCAAATAATCTTTGGTGCACTTGTATTATGTAAATGAAGACATTGTAATTTTTTCTTATTTTAGCCTTACGTCGATTAAATAATTATCAAACTTATGTCAAAATTAAGATTTCATTTTGAATTTTTTATGATTTAGATGAAGTATTATTTTCACACCTTTTATTTTTTAAAAAAAAATCATATTCAATCATATATACTAAGTGAATATTTTAATGATATTACAATTACACATTCGTAGAAAAAAAAACAACTATTTCTTGGTTTATTTTTATGTACATTGTAACATTTACTTTAAATAATTGTTTAACAGGATAATTGATGAGTTGAACAAAAATAGATAATAAGAAATTTATTAAATTTTTGTATCAAAAATGTATTTACTATCAGCCACATTTTTAGGAATTATTTAATTTAAATTATGCTTAAAATAATTGTGTAGAAAATTTTAAGTATGATATTAGTATCAGTATTGGATAATAGCATACAAGTGAACTCATGACTAGTATGAAATTTACTGATTTAATAAAAAATATTGAGCTATACTTTAAATTCTAAGAAATGATTTTTTAATATTATAGATTATTTATAATGACATCCCTTTGTTACTTGTGTTGCTTTGAATTTAGACTAAAATTTCTGCATGTTTATTTTATATCTAAAATAGTAAAACTTACATTTATTCTTAAGATTGTCTATGTAGATTATCTACAATATTTGCTGACAATATAGCAATAAAAAATTGTATAAAATACCATAGCTATTTTATTTTATTTTATTTTATTTTATTTTGGTGACAATATTACTTGTTGAAAATTCTTGAGCTTTGGATTAAATGAAAACAGATGTATGTGTATAGTCAAGATTATATAATATCAAATAATTCAATAACAATTGAATTTTTTTTTGAAGTTTAATCATTTGGCTAATATGAATCATTTTTTCATGTTGACAAAATAACATTCAAATAAATACCTTAAGCTATTAAATTGATGGTTTTTGAAAAAATATTGATGGTGGTTTGACTAGAAATTATTGTAAGTAAATATGTTTTTAAGGCTTTTAAGTTTTTGATAGATTCAACTGAAGCACATTTCTATATCTATAAATAGATATGCTATTAGGCTTTGTCATGTATAACCAATAGTATAATTTTTATTTGTGTGTTGACTTTTCCACAAAATAATGATAATTTTTCACATTCTTGGTACTTTTACAAGTTGCAAAAATGAAAGGTGGTTAATGAATCACAATTATAGTTGATTTTAATGGAAGAAGAGAAAATATTAATGAATGTGACAAAGATCAATTACAACAATTCTTAATTAGAATATAGTCCAATTTTACTTACAATAATTTTGTTGTACAAGGTAGGATGAAGATACACACAATTTTTTCCTTTTATTTTTAAATGATGTTGCTTTTGATTGAATTGAAAATCTTGACATGTGTTGCAAAGTTTTTCTTCTACTTCTACCAATGTGCGCATACACACACACACACACACACACATATATATATGTATATATTGGGGAATGTTAAAAAGACCTAGATTTTTACTAAATCGACATACACATGATGTAGAATATTGTAATCATGATCACATGGTTTTCATTGGTTTGGAATCCAATACTGGAGTAATGAATCTAGGTAATTTTTTTTCATGATGGGTGGATCATTTTTGTAAAAACCTGGGTTTATTTAAAATTTCCCTCTATCTATCTATATTCCATGCTTTATAGAGCCTTAGCTAAGTTAAAAAGCACTTATCAAGTGGCAAGTATGCTTTGCGTCTCGAACCTTCCTCACCGGTGAAGTGGCTTCCAGCCGAATTGGGTGCTGCTCCTCCTGCAGTTCCAGCTCAGGATTGTTTCCCATTCCAGGTTCACTCCAGACAAACCCCTAGATCCTTATCGTCGTTGCTTCGCTCGTGCACTCCGAGCTGTTTTGCCTATCCCCGCTGCCATCCTGCTCTCCGCGTGTTCTACTTTGCGGTGCACACACACACACACAGAGACGAAGAAAATCTGAGCTCGTCCTAACACACTACCACCGCTTACGTCTGCTCTACATCCCCCTGACGAGCAAAACTTTTCGAGAGAGTGATCGCCGTCTCTTTCTTCCTGCATGTGGACTCCTCTTTCGAACAATCTATTGTGTCATCAATCGTCTTCATCGTTGATATTTCTTGTTCGCATCCTTCTCTGCATTGGGCGGCAGTTTGCAATCAAGATTGAGGGGACACTCGGACGGAGCCTTGCAGATTTGATGATATTGTTAAATCTGGAGGCTGTCCCATCGTCTTGGTTCACCAGCTTTGGATTGTATAAGATTGCTACAAGATGGAGCACGGGGTGGTTTGGTGTTACACGAGGAGCTGACTTGCAGCTCAGCCCTCAGCCAGCGGAACCCTGTGCGCCATTGTCTTTGTGCTCTTCATTGCAGCGGACAGGATCTTCCACAATTGTTTTTTACAGGTTTTTGTCGCTAGGCTCACTTCTCGATTATTGTAAAATAGTTTCTCTGGATGAATGTCTTGTAGGTTTGGGATTGCCGGATTCAATCTTCTGCTCCTTGTCCTTAGAATAAATTCGGTCCCCTTGCCTACAATGACTTTCCAGGCTTATGTCGAAGCTTCGCTGCACAATACAGGGGCCTTGAGTTTTCGGACTGAGAATATTTATTTCTTTCAGGACTCGCTCTCACAGAAGCCAATCCAAATGGAAACTTATTGACAGCTGTAGGAAAATTCATGTTATAAAGCGACCGATTAAAGTATGGAACTAAGGAACGTCAAGGCTTTCATAAGACGCTCCATGCGCACAGTGCGAGCTGACTCAGCTGCACTTTGTCCACTCTTTGGCTGCACAGATGATTTCAAAGCAACCCTCGGACGTGTCTAAATACATCAATGAAACTATATGGAACAATTCTTTACTTTTGCATAGAGTTGTTACAGTTCCATGATCACTCCACTCCTCCTTCTCAAGCCAATTGCAAAGGACTACTACCGCAGGAAACAATTGGCTGCAGTATGGAACTCATCCGTTCTTGTGCAATTGGCTCAACACACTCCTTCATGAATTGGAATGCAAATAAAATGGCTTGTATCACAAACGGCGGTTTATCTCTGGTCCATATGAATTGCAACTGCTCTACTTTTCTAATTTTTGTGGAATTCGGTGCTGGACATGGAGTTGTGGTGTTGATTCGTCTCAAAGGGCCAGGCTGGGTATTTGCATGAGCAGTCGTACAGGGAAGAGGCAGATGACTGAGCTGCAGAGACAATAATATAAATAAAGCCTGCAGGTTGTTGCCTGCCTGCCTACGTGGTTGGAAAGTCTAAGCAAAAATTTATCAATGAGATTATGCCAGCTCAGCTCTGATGAGTCATGGCTCCAATGCTGCCACCGTGGCCGATGGAAGCTGCTCCTCTACGTTTCATTGTTTTGTTTGTTGTTCTAGATTCAATTTTCTGCACTCTGTGTAATGTGTGTTGGGAGAGTCATAGATGCAACCTGGTCTCACAAGATTCTGTGAAACAATCACTTGTGGTTTTGAGAGAATAATTTAGAGAGAATAATTTAGAGAGAATAATTTTAAATACTTTAGAGAAAATATTTTTGAATTCAATTAATAAAAAAACATGTGCTTTTTAATTAAAAAACATTGATAATTTTTTGGTTAGACTTTCCAATCAAAAATCTATTAATATTATCATTATTATTAGAAGTTTTTTAAGTTACTTCAAATGAAAATGAAAATATAAATTTTTAAAATTTTATAATTAAATTAATTTTATTAGATAATACTAAAAAAATTCTTCAATGAATTTAAAATATAAATTTATCCAATTGAAAGCTATTAAATTCAAAAAGTATAGAATATTATTTTTTTTAAAAATAAATAATAAAATTTATTATGGAATAAAATATTTTAGAAAATAAGTATATATATATATATATATATATATATATATATATATATATATATATATATATATATATATTTTAAGAACTATCATCTAAAATTTGATATTGATCTATTTAATTTGATACAAAGAAAAAATATCCATAAAAATATTATTTAAAAATAAAAAATTAGAAATTTGGTATCTTTAAAATAAATATTAATAAGAATTATGTAATGTATAGGAATTCTATATAATATACAAGAATTTTTTTATTACAAAAAAAATTTGATTTTGTTTAATTTTTAATTTTATTGAATTTTTATGATTTTTATGATTTTTATGATTTTTTTTTTTTTTTTTTTTTTTTTTTTTTTAATTATAGTTTTTTTACGCATTTGACTCATAAAGACAAACTTGAGTAGAATAAAAGAACTCAATAAGCATTTTAAGCTTTGAAGATAGCTTTCATTTTTGCACCAATCTTGTATTATGTTAATTTTTCTAAGGCATTTTTTTATAGAAATAGATACATTAGATTTTTCCTTGATTGTGGTATTACATCTAATGAGAACAAATAATAAGCTTCACCCTTTTGTTTTTTATTTAAGAAATATTTTAGCAATAAAGATCAATTACAAGATCCTCAAAAAAATAAAAATAAAATGTTTGCAATTTTGGATTTATTTCAAAAATAACACTATTATTTGGAAGGCACTTTAAGTCCATTGAATATTTATACAGATCACAAGAACCTTGAGTATTTCATGTTAGTTTGTGTTTTAAATTATTACTAAGTCCTTTAATTCATGTCTTTGTCAAAATTTGAATTGAAGATTATGTATTGAGTAGAAAAATAATAAGGTTTATCAAACATTTTTTCTAAATATTTTTATCTTATGCCATAAAAAAATTGTAACTTTTAATGAATAAAAAATAATTCTCTTGAAGCTAGAATTTTTTTGAGCTTTATAATCAAATCTTTGAGCTTTATAATCAATTTTTATTGTTGATTCTACTTTAAGGAAATTAAATCAAGTATGTTATCAAATTCTCTTGTTTATGATATTAATAATAATCCTTCTAAATTTTATTATTTTATAAAGTTTGAATTTTAAAATAATATATTCTAATTTTAAAAGACATTTACATATTAGAGAAGATGAAGCACAATTAAGAGTTCTTCAAACTTGTTACAATTTTCTACCTACATGATATTATAGATACAATACTTGATATTTTTAATTTAAAAAATTATTTATTAAATCTATATTTAATAATAAAAGAACAATTCAAGGAAATTTAAGTACAATAAAAAATCAATACAAATACTTAATTCAAGAAAAAATCTCAATTCTACATTAACAACAAGGAATGGTTATTTTATCATGATATTAAGATTAGTTGCCCTTATAATAAGTTTGATTATTATAAATTTTGACCATTTTTTATTTGCAAATTTATCTATTAAGTTGCACATCCATCATACCTATAAAAGCCTATAAAGATCTATCTAGTATTCCAAGTATCTCTTTTTGAGCCATATAAGATAATGAATGTCTCAAAAAAAACAATCAAATGCCACCTTGTCTTATAAAAGTGGATAATCATTAAGAATTTGAGGTCAAAAAAGTCTTTGACTCAAGTCAACATCAACTTAGGTTAGAATATCTCATTAATTGGTGTAGATATGATATTAGAAAATACACATAGAAGCCATCTATGAATCTTGCAAATGTAGCAAAGAAGATGAAATTTTTCATCAATATTCATCAAAACCAAGATTAAGAGTCAAATAATTCTTTATTGTATAAGAAATGAGGTTAAATAAAGATTGCATTCTATTCTCTATTCTCAATTGTGAATTTATTTGTTTTTGTGGCACAAAAAAGATGAAGAATCAACAACCAAAAAATTCAACTCAAGAAATATTATTTGCTAAATTATCAAACAAAACATTGCATTTTTGACAACTTTCAAGATAACGTAATAGAGATGAAGATTTTCAAGAATAACATATATTTTTTTTTGAATAGATGACAAGATAAAACCTATTTAATATGACAAATTTGGAAGAAATTCTCAATATTTGGTGATATTATTAGAAGTAAGTACGATTCTTGATGGTATTCTAAATATTTTATTTAAAAGAAGTTAAGAAGGTCTAAAAAAAATTTATATATTAAGATGGTTTTTTTGTTCTGAAATAAAATACTATCAATGATTGAAATGATCTATTGTCAAAGACATGAATCTCAAAGACTTAAAAGATCAATATATTCTTGTGTTACTAAAAAAAACTAAAAAAATCACTCAAGGATGGTATAATAATTAAACCAGAATGGCTATTTTTAATGACAAAAAGACTAAAAAGTCTTGAAACATGACTAAAAACTAGAGAGGCATTGACAAGAGTGAAAAAGGCTTCATTCTTACCTCTATATTTACTATCTAACTAGAAGCTATGTAGCAATATTTTATAGGACCTTTGATACATGTTGAATTTATAAGATATGTGTCTTAACTTGCAAGACAAATTTCTTATATATGCACTACATTATTAGCTTGTACTGTAAGCTCTACACAAGCAACTCATGACTAACTTATTGACCAATTTTAAAAACTTGATAGATTAGAAACTTGATAAGATGTAAGAAAGATAACATTCTAACTTATTCATAATATTATCTTGCCAAATATGTCCATAATATTATCTCTCTTCTTAGGATCAAATCAAGATAGAATGCTATCTTCTTTATATCATTTTTTTATATTAAAGATTTCCTATTCTTCATCTTAATTTTGATGGATATTGTTGATGAAAAGCATCAATTTTTTTTGTTGCATTTACAAGATTCTTTTCTAGTTTTTATGTGCATTCAATAATATCATATCCATGCCAATGAATAAGATATTTCAACCTATTTTAGCACTGCCTTAAATCTAAGATTTCTTCCATCTTAAATTTTTAATTATTATTTATTTCTATAGAAGAACGTGGCATTTGTCTTCTTTCCAAAATATTCATTGTCTTATATGGTTTAAAAAGAGATATATGAAATATAAGATGGATCTTTATAAACTCTAATAGATTTAATTGATAAGCAACCAAATTGATTTGTTTACTAATAGGAAATTGTATAAGTTTACTGTAATCCAATTTATCTCAAAAGCAGTTAATCTTGATATTGTAACAAAGTAATTATATCTTATTACCAATATAGAATTGAGGTTGTTCTTTATAATAGACATCAACACTAATCTTTTGTTGCTCTTGAGCTTCTTTAGGATGTACTTTCATTCTCATATATAGCTTAGATAAACGATTTGTCAATTTTTTTGTCACAAGTTTATTAATTTTTAAAAGATCAAAAGTACCAAGTTATAGATAATAATTATAATTAATAAAAAATATATTTATTGTGTAAAAAAATTTGCTATATTATTATAAGTAAATTTTGCCAATAGCAAAAATATTGTCCAATCATCTCATTTGTAATTGATGGTACACTTTAAATACTACTTTCAAACTCAATTTAGAAGCTTTGTTTATCTATCAAATTGAAAATAAAAAGCCAAAGATAATTTATGTTTATCTTTAGAATTTTAAAAAACTTCTTCAAAATCTTCATAAAAATTGAGTCTTCCTATTTGATATAATATCCTTAAACAATCCATAGTAGCAATAAATGTTGTAAAAAAAAAGCTTAGCTATTTTTTTTTTTTTTTTTTTTTTTTTTTAAATTTTTTTATCTTTGATAGATTTTTTATATGGTATAAAATATGCCATCTTGGTAAAATGATTTAATATTACGAATATAGAATTATAAGAACTTGAGATTGAAAGATTTATGATAAAATCTATAGAAATAAAAGACCATAATTATCTTCAAATAAGTAATGATTGAAGAAGTCTATAAGATTGATGATGAGGAGTTTTTGATCTTAAAAAAATATTATATGATCATACAAAGTCTTTCATTGCCTTCTATATTAGAAGCTACTAAAAATCACTAGATATTAGCTTTAAAGTCTTCTTGTATCCAAAATATTTAGTTATTGCAAAGTCATGATAAGCTTAAAGACCACATAATCATGCATTATCTTTTGAAATATATAATTATTCTTCAAAATAATATAGATTATTTTTAAACTTAAATTTAAAAGTATTTTGAGATTTAAAAGAATTATTATTAATATCATAAAAAAAAATCTGAGGATATATGTCATTGAACTTGTTTGAAAAAGGTTGAATCAATAGTCAATATTGATTTCATTGCTCAAAGATGAAAATACTCTAGCTTCCAAAAAATCAATCTTTGATAGTTAAAAGTTTTATTTGCTTCTTTTGGTACAAGATAAGAATGTTTAGAAAGAATATTTGATAAACCTTGTTATTTTTTGAATCATTAAGTGATCT